ATGCGTTTCAACCGTTCAACTGAAAGCCGTACCGATAGAATTTTCAAGCCACCCATCAAACGTTGCACATACAAATACACACACACACATACACACAAAGCCAAAAAGAAGAAAGAAAATAGAGTGAGAGAGCGAGATGCGAGTTGACGGAAACGGAAAATGAAGTGCATTTCAAATAAAAGTGATAAAGACAAATTGCACATCAAAAAAAAAAGGTATAAAGGTGATGTCCAAAAAAATGGCGCAACGGTGAGAAGTGGGTCGAAAAGTTTCGACTTAAAGAAAGAATTCATTGAAAGTTTTGTTCTAGCTAGTGGCCACACACACATATTTTTTCTTCATCCATTATTTCTTGTAGTGACAGCAACTTCTCCCCTACACATATTGTATATTGTGTGAAAGTCATGCTATTTGATGTTTGGCGAATAGAGCGAGAGAACGGTGGCGAATCAATGGAGGTATGATGAACGGCGAACGCTGAAAAGTGTAATTGAATCCAGTTTGTGGTAGCAAATAAAGCAAATATTTGTTTGATCTGAAATTAATAACAAGCGCGATGGTAACACCAATGTAATACATTACGATGCACACGATGGATAAAACGTACACACTTTTTCAACTTTAAACGCATTTGATCAACAGCACGTTTGGCATTCACGTACGACGTGATTTTAATGAATTTCCGTTCATTAAAATATTTTCGGCATTATGGTCAGTTCATTTATAGCTTTCACAAATTGGTGTTATCTACCGAATCGGTTCCGATGCTGTTTTTCATCTCGTGCTCGCCTCGTCTTGCCTCACCGCGGCGCGTTGGCTCTCTTTGTCCCGCAATATGTGTGTATGTGTGTCTGGCCAATGCCGTTGCTGCCGGTGCCGAACGAACACGTTATGACATTTTAAGGATTCACTTTTACAGCGGCATTGCGTATAACCGAATGTGAGACGCATATATTTCCACCGTCTGCAATGAATAATAGTAGGAATTTGTAGCAGCAAAACGCCAACCAGATAAGGCTACTAATTAATTTCCGAAATGTTGCAGGTAATAAAATTTATGAATGACCCAATATTTGAGTCGCGGGCGCAAATGATGTAAGCGCGCGCCACAGTTCATTGGGAAAAATACGATGAGCGCGAATCCAAGATTGGACAAACACACAGACAAAGACACATATATACATATATATTGAACCTCCCGCATTATTATACATATAATCATCTCTCTCTCTCTCTCTAGCTATTTATCTATCTATCTTAATTTACTCTCTCATACACACACATACCTATATAAATACACGCCAGACAAAATGCACGAAGCGACGAGCTCCGGCTGATAAATCGGTGGCTCACAATTAAGTAAAGAATGCATGAACATCGGAACATAAATGTAATGAAAGAGCTTTTAATGCAAACCCCATAAAAAAATGACGGAACATGCTCCACACGCTAGAATAGCTTAACATAGTTTGCTCGTTGTGATCATGCAACGTGTGTACAGAGAGAGAGAGAGACAGAGAGAGAGGGTGAACGTTCGCTTGACGCTCATATCAAATACCCAAGCTGTTATGCCTTGTATGTATGTTTGCTGTGATTAATTTTATGGTAATTAGAAATATACATGATTCGTGACAAAAGAAAGTCATACAGCACGACCGGAACGGGACACTGTGATTCATTTATACTCGAAATAGGTGTATGCAGCGTTCGGTATCATTTGTTAAATATAAAATATTATCATTAATCATGCAGCATTTTATAACATTGCACTCGCTATACTATACTCACTTACTCACTATGACATCGCGCCGAGCGCTCGCATGAAGAAGAGAGAAAGAGAGATAGGGGGAGAGAAACTCATGTACTGTACAATTGCCGGTATGTGCCTTGACTGTGAGCTGATATTTAATCATGTGCTGCCACGAAAATCTTTATCACAAACCATCGATAATCGTGGTGTTCGCTGTGAAATTCAGAGCAAATGCGCTTTTACATCGCTTACATTAACCAAAGGGACGACACGTTTTGACGAAGTCTACGGCGAACTCATGAACTATCGAAAAGTCAATACAAAATGATACGAGAGTTCGTGGCGCTGCGAGCGCTCAAATGATGTTTGCACTGAAGTGTCGTCAGCTTGACATTAACAGCACTTGCAACCGCTTTCACCAAAAAATGAAGCAGAAAAAGTAGAAGAAGAAGAGAGAAAAAACGAAACCGTTTGATTCTTATAACTATTTATTTTGAATGTTAAATTTACTCATCATAATAATTAATTAACAAACTCAATTTATTTTTTAGTTTCATCATTTTTTCAGCATTCAAATTTTTTGTCAACATTTTTTTTAACAAATGTGTCACATTCAGCCGGGCTGTTTATTTGCTAGTTATAAAATATGGTTTTGGGTGTAGGTTATCATTTTTGTTTTGTTTTATTTCGAAAATGATTCTCCAACTTAAGCTATTTTCTATTGATTTTTTGATGCCTTCCTCAAACGGATTTCAAGCATGTTTTCATCCATAAATTCAAAATGAATCTGAACACTGGATTGAAACTTAAACACAACTCAATATTAGTTTACATCCAAAAATGTTGCAGTGTATGTATAAAATAAGCGTACGCGTGAATATGGTATAAACGCATCGTGCGCAAGGAATACACGCGGTATATTTGTAGCATAGTTTTTTTATTGGTATGCATTCAACTCGAGCTAACGATAACATGGTCGTTCGATTGACGAATTGTAAGCCAACTATTTTTTTCATGGGTGCCGTAGAGATTTCACCAAATTCGCCGGTTGGCATAAAGCGAAGGGTTGTAACAGTGATATGATCGGCACATGAGCACCATCTCTACTGATTGCCATTATTGCCATGTAAATGAATAGAATGTCTACTTCTTCTTCTTCTTTTTCTCAACATCAATTGCATACGACTTATGGTAACTCTCCGTAATCATTAGAGGTGGCGCTACTTATGCGCATCAATTGACTTTTGCATTGGCTCTTATGTACTGTGCGTGCCTTTTGGCATAAAGAAACATGTTCGCTGCCCGTGAACTCGCAGATTGGTGAAGTCTTTTCGCAAACAAGGGGATTGTGTCGTATACCGGAAAAACTGAAACGTTGAAATGGGGAATGCTGCTGCACAAGAAGAAGATAAAGCCACATACGTCGAAGATCAAACGCATCTTAATTTCGAAGAGAGGGATGCCTATTTATAGCAAAGCAACGCGTCAAATCAGCGTCCAACAGGACTGAAAACAGTTTGGCATCGTGATACAGTGGCTGCAAAATGCATCTTATACAAAGGTAATATAAATTTTGATTGGCATGTAAAAACGGAACAGAAAATGTTGTTATTATACAGTGTTCTTCGTGATTTCAGGTCTTTTTGAGCTGTTCAATGGATACACTCCCGACATATTCCTACTGGATCTTGGGCTCCAAATACACTTCGATTTGTTCAATACAAACGTGATTGAGCCGCAGTAGGACGCAGCAGCATTTTAGTTTTAATTTTCATTTTTCGATTTTAATAATAAATAATTCATGTAACATTAAGTTTTTCTGCTGGGAGCTGATTTTATGCCCCTGCTAAAGTATCAACCGCTGTGTCGGCTAGAAATGAGATAATGATGAGTAATTGAAAAACTGGTTTGTTTCGTAAAAATTAGTTTTAATAAAATTAAAAAAAAACCTGAACATATAAATCTATGTGGATTCGTGCGGTTATAGAACTCCATTTCGGTAGTTATGAACATGTAACTCTAATTTTATATGTATTTGCTTTTGGTGTATGTATTTTTGTTGTTTTTTTTTTGTTGTTGCGTCTATATTAACCGAAAACGATACAATATCTCTGTGGCGTAGAAAGCAGACTGAAACATCAGAAAAAAATTCGTTTAACAGTTATTTGCACGCACTGAAGCTAAATTATGATGATTTGGTTTTTTTCTTTCGTGTCCACTTCATTTTCATCAAACCGAATCACAGAAAAAAAATTCAAATAATCGTATGTGTTCAGTGCTTGTAATGCAACAACCATTTTTAAAGGAATAATAATAATTTAAAAAGAAACAACTGCTAAATGTGATTCGGCGCTCAGAAACATCAAAAAATCGTTGTTTATGCTAGAGCAGTGAAACCGTCCAGCATTTTCGGATTTGGAAGATTATCGTTGTGAATCTTCCGGTTGGGCTGCATTTCCGGCTTATATCATACCCATCGCGACATGTGTTTTTTTTTCTTCTTCTTCATTTTATTTTCTCGTTAAACTATATTCGAATAACATATTCACTTTTAATCTATCAATCTTTTTGCATTTTTCATATAAACTTTTTCTCGTGTTTTTTTTTTTGTTGTCTTGATTTTTTTTTCTTTACAATTCACTAATTGCCAATTACTAAAAAAAACAAAAACGAATGAAAAAAAAAACATTTAATTTACGGTATTAAAATATATTAGATACTCTTGTATTATTTAAATTCTCTGCACTCGCTCGTGTTTTTTCTTCTTCTTCTCTCATATTCTTATTTAATAAGTCTATTTGATTGTTTGATTATTATTCAATATACTTCTTTTTTTTTGCTTTTCGTTACGTGAACACCTTCTCGGTTTATCGAACGTTTTTTTTTTCTTCTTTCAATTAATACGCATTGCTATAAAAGAATAAATAAAATTTTTGTTGGCATTTCTATCAAATTATTCAAAACAATGTTCATGTTAAATGCGTTTTCAATGTGTATTGTTTCCGTAAGCATCATTTAGATACAATTTGTGTTTGTTTGTTTTTTTTTGCAGTTTTCATTGAGCGACATACGGAAAAGAGAAATTTTACCATCAACTAAATCTACAGTAAAGATATTATTTTTTCTGTGTGTAACATTTGTATAATTTTTGTAGTTGTTGTTTTTGTTAATATTCCGGTGAATTTCTCATATATTGGGTGGAAAAAAAATCACCAAGGATTTGAACATGTTGAAATTAATACCAATTATGTAATGGGTTCGTATTTACTATTTCATGTTTATTGAATTAAATTTCTTGTTTCATTTGTTGAATTAATGTGTTATCCTTCACTCAATGCGCTTGTTATTGTTTTTTCTTTCTTTGTGAAATAAAGTTTGGGCCTTTCGAATAAATTTCGACAGTTTGGTTGCCATTCGGCGTGTGAACTACTGCAAGTCATAGAAATTAGATTATCGAGGTCTTTTTCAAACTTACAAAAATAAGAGCGTTACCATAATTTTTTTTTCCTAATCCATATACATTCTATATTATTACTCACAATCCTTTTTTTGTGATTTTTGTGTTTTCTTTCGTTTTAGAATATTGTGTGTATAATTTCTAAAATGTTCAATTTTTTTTCTCTGTTTTCTGCATAACCTCACAATTAAATTGTAAAATATATTTAGTATTGTTTGATTGGCTGATATATATTTTAATTTTCGCTTCATTTTTTGAGCGTGTCGCATTTAATCAGCGCCACGTCTATATTTCTATTTTTATAATTTTTTTTTTCAATAGCAAATCGCTTTTTTCTTGCATAACAACTTAAAAAAAAAGATCAATGGATGTGTTCATGTTTGTAGCATTTCATTCTAATTGAGTTCATTGGTTAGGTAAATGTAATGCATTGCTTCTTTTGACATATCAAAGCAATGGCACTGATACATGACATTGTTTCATTGTCCACATGAATATGATTTTGGTAGTTTCAATTCACTGCTTTGATTTGAAGGCTAAAATTGCAAATGCAGCTAGAAAAGAAGAAAACCGATTCAATTTCGTTCGAGCCATACAATTAAAAAAAAAAAAAGAATCCAACTTAAATCGAGGATAGGAAATGCTATTTTGTTATTGTATGTGTGTTTTTCAACTAAGAAAACGATATTTGTTTTGGCACAAGAATGCGCGCTGCATTATTCAACAATCCAAGCTAACAATCGCTGATGGTAATTTGGATTGTTAACACATTATTCTCCATTTTCATCTGTTTTTTTTTTGTGTCTCTTTTGTTAATGATCCATTCTGAGCGGATAAGCAAACACGCACACTGTGTATTGATGTGGCAGAGGAGAAGGGGCCATGTTTATTTCGTATTTGCGACAGCACCATTACCAGCAGTAACCTTTCCAAAATTGTTGGAAGATGTCGTTGCCGAATTACTGCCTGCAGTAGTGTTTGTGCCCGTATTTCCAGCACAACTCTCTTTGTCACTGCTCGCTTTTGGAATTTCGGCCAAATTCTCTTTGTTATCTTTCCTATTTTGTACTAATTTTGCATCCTTATCAGTGTTGGCATTCGATGACGTTATGTGACTATTCATGTTAAGCAAACCTTTGCGGGGTGCTGCAAAATTATGTTGCTGCGATTGTTGTTGATGCGGTGGCTCTCGGATCGTGAACGTTTGTCGTTTTTGCTATTGTCGGATAGAGAAAAGAGTGTGTTCAATGTCGACAATGACATCAGATTTGAGATGTTGGTTTATCGTCTTACCTGTTGTTGCGGATTCGATTGTGAATTCTGTTGCGGCTGGGATTGTTGCTGGATATGGTTTTGACGATTGGCTGTTTGAGGACGATTTCCAGTTGAACCGCTGCGAACACGACCACCAGGGCCCGTTTTGCGATTTTGTTGACTAGACGTTGCCGTAACTGGACGATTTCCGAACGAATCACATCTTTACAAAAACCAAGAAGAATTATTACTCAATCTTTTTTTTTCAACAAAATGTTCACGAGTAAGATAAAATGGCTAAATTGTTTGCATGTATAACATCATAACATCAAACCTTTTTCGGTTAAAATTAGCTTCATTGCGTCCCACTGTAAAATCACCACGACTTGTTTGCGAAATTGGATTTGCAACGCCTTCACTTTCTGATATGCTGCGATGGCGTCGTTTGTCCGGCGATTGCAAATTACGTACACCCTCAAGCAGTTCATTGATTTGTGGCTCCAACACGCGGAAATCTTCAATCGTTTTGAATTTCGTTAAATGTTCGGCCAAGCGTGGCTCAACGGTTAGCTTCTCTGCATTTTTATAATATTTCATGAATGCCCAGAACTTTTCAATACCATACAATTGATCTGAATGGGGAGAGGGAGTAAAACATTGAAACCAAAAATTATTGTTTATTCTGGGAAAAAGTAGGAATAATGTCACCCACTTTTTTCATAATCGGCCAAGGTTTCTTTTTGAAAATCTTCATACAAATGTGGTCGGAATTTCTTTTCCAAACCATACGAGTAGAAGCGGAACAAACATTCTAAGCCATAACGGAAACCAGATGCAGCATCTTCCAATGCGAGCTGACGAAATTCGTTGTACATATTTTTGTTGAAGTTTTCACGTAAAAAAAACGACCAAAATCGAAAGAGAGTATTCATTTCCTGTGATTGTCCGGGGCCCAAGCGTTTGCGTTCCTTCAAGCAACGGCTGTGATACTTGTGATAAGCTTGTTGCGTGAAATTATTCTCCTTAAGCAGTGCATGTGATGGATGTTGGAACATTGGCAAGCTCTGTGGAACAGACGAACCATAGCTAGATGCTGGTGAAGTGCCAGCCGAACTGCCAAAGCTCGATGTTCTTGGTCTGTGCTCGACGGTGTCCATGACCTGTTGTGAATTGAAAATTTTTAAATTAAAAAAAAAATCGAGCACATTATTTTTGGTGCAAAATGTCACAGTGAGAAATTGAAATACATACCCAACCAACGTGGCATTCAACGGGTGGATTGTACAAATGGCGTGTTTTGCGCTTCCGAGGTGTACGTGGATCAACGAATTCCTCCTTGTTAACGGCAAAGAAGCGTGCCTTCTTCGAACCGAGACCAGAGCCAGTGCTTGTATTCAGTCGCGCGCTTGAGTCATTGTCATAAGTTGGCGGAGGTGGTGGAGGTACATCAGGATTTTTCTTTGTCACTTTCGGAGCTATTTTTTCGAAATCTTCTTGCGTGATGATGTTGAGCGTTTTATAGCTGCTGCTCGGAGCTGCGTCATGTGTCCATAAATCTTCTTCGTAGTTGTGCAGACCATCATTGATAACTTGTTCCAAATCTTGGGTAATTTTGGTTCGTGATACAAAATCGCCGGTGCGATTGTAGCCATCGTGCTTTGGTGCACGATGTCTAACTTGCGTCACAATCAATATTTTGTTAATATCCCGATCTGATAGCTCATAATCGGATTCGTCGTCCGACCAATTTTCGGTGAAATTATTGGCACGTCCAATTGGGATGTCCAACTCTTCGTCGAACTGAAATTCCAAATCTTCTTTTTCAACCGATGGCGGTTGTTGTGCTGGTGGCGATGTAGCTAGTACGGTGGCCGCTGGTTGATTCGGCATTTGCTGGGCCTGTGACGCAACCGGTAACTTTGAAGCCACATTTGCCGTTGATCCACCCGATGGCTCTTTTGAACTGGTTCTCGAACGACGTTTCACTTGACGCCAAAGATCCGATTCTTCGTTCTCAGCGGATTCATTATCGTTTGAAGCCGCTTTATAATATGCATTTGCATTGGTGTTCGGGTTTGAATTTTTATTTTTATTCGAGTTCGGATTCGAATTTGCTGGGTTTTTTGAGTTAGCAACCGTACTAGACTGCTGACGGTTGCCCTCTTTTTTCTGCAGTCTAGTAGCTTCGGAGTTTTTTGGATTCGGCAAATTGGTTTCATTTGATTTTCCTGCACGTGAATAAATATTTGCGACAATAAATATCAATTTGAACCTGGATTGAATGCGTAAATTTGGTTCGAACCAACTAACCTAAAAAATCAGGAACGAATTCAGGAACATCTGGATTCAAATTTCCATCGTCAATCGCATGTTCAGCATTTGTGCTATTCGCATTATTTGGCAGTGTTTCAGACTGTATCGAAGCATTCAAAGGTATACGAAAATTTCTTGGTGTCGGCGGGGGTGGTACACATGTAAGCGTAGCGGATGCAATGATCGGTACAACTGGAATCCCATACACTGGTTGCAAGTTATTTGATGTAATGGCGACGGCGTTGACTGGTTTCGCAGCTGCAGTGGAATCTGAATGGGACAAAATGACACGCAAACAAGAAATGATTAAACAATGAAAATAAAGTGAAATGACAAATAAGATATGTTACCCAATTGGTGATGATTATGACTTTGATTTTCTTCTCCCGGTGTATGCTTTATGGGCCACTTGGTTGGATCGTTTTTAGTGCGAACCTTGAAATTTTTGAACACTTCAAGTTGATCGGACTCCTGAACAGCACCCAATACAACTTGAATTTCCGAGCTAAGTGCTTGAATGCGATGGAATGACGCGATCAATGTTATTGGCAAATAACCCTCAGCGTCCATTTTTCGGCGAATGAAGAAATCACGTTGCAGGTTTTCATCACTGAAATAATATTCACTGCATAAGGCGTGAGGTGAGAATGAAGAAAATAATGAGATTCAATTGTTGGATTCCTTCCCCGATAAAGCATGAGATTCTATGCAAAAAGTTCTTACATTTGCTTTCTGATAGCTTCTTTTAAGCTCGATGGATCCATATTTGCATATGAAGGCACACCATTGTAATAGTATGTTCCCATGTAAGGCATAAACAGTGCTGGAGCAGCTGCAGCAGCAGCAGCAGCAGCAGCAGTATTATCGGCAACCAGTTTTTTGACTAGCGAGTAATCGACGGGGAATTCGACGGCATATTCGCCATTTTGGCTGTGATGATGGCCGGATATGCGATTCACTCGAGATTTTGGTATACCACCACTACTGCGGACCGGCCCACCGGTGCGCTTGGAACTGATGGTGGCATTGCTCGAACGCGTTGATGCCGTATTGCTAACAGTGCTCGGTCGATGGGACGAATTGGCCAATGGTTTGCTAGTTGGATGGGCAGTTGTTGATGGACCACGTGTACTTGGTTGGCGATAGCGTCGACTCGGATATTTCTATGGAAAACGAAGTAAAGTAAAGTAATAAAAGTGATAAAACCAGTAAGTAGTAAGTGAACCTGTTTTGACCAATTTCACCAAAAGACAAAATATACAAAAATAGCTTATATATACGTATGCAATGTGTAAAATAAAGAAAAAGTGCCACTATCGAAATTAGAATAAAAAGTCTTCCAATTAACAAAAACGTTCGTAAAATGCGTACAACAGTGTGGTGACAGATCATAGACGAATTTATATAGATGACCTACAAAATGAATTCTGATTAAAATGTCGTATGAAATTACCGGTTTTTCCGGATGCGTTTTGGCTTCGTTTGCTTCATTGCTATTTGAATATTCGGTATCATTGTCTGTATCACGTCGATTTTTATTGCTGCTAACATTATTGTTTCGTTCTCTTGGTTCCCGTGACTCGCGTGGTTCGCGTGGCTCCCGAGATTCTCGCGTTTCTCGTGGTTTTCGAGATTTCGGTAATTCTATTGGTAATGGAACCCATTTCGATTTTCCCACAACTTTGCGATTGTTCAAATTGTTGTTGGCATTTGTCTGGTTCACTTGATTCGAAACATGGCCATTTGGAATAACACCGTTCGGTGCCGTAGTCGTTTCTTGTACGGCACTGACCGGTGTGTTCGTCGTCAACGCTGGCTGCGATGCCGTATTTTCATTGGATTGCGTCTCGTTTTGATGAGCTGATCGATTGTTGCCTACTTTTGAATGGGACGATGGCAGCGTGACGTTCACCTTATTTACATGATTATTTGATGCCGATCGATTCGAAAATTTCTGTTAAAAGGAAGACTTAGTTTTAATGCATCATATGGAAATTAGTTGAAAGGAGAGAGAAAGAGAGAAACACAAAAAATTCAAAAGATGCCTACGATTTTGACGACAAAAAAATGTCTCCTAATTCTTACATTTAATGATGATGAACGTTTGAATGGCAAATGTGAAAAAAACCCCATCAAATTTGTTAGTAAAATATCACACCGCACCACAAGTAACCAGTTAGTAGCAGTGATAGTGGCCGATTAATCTATTGTGAGTGAAAACGTGTGAATTACCGGTTTATCAGGAAGTGTTCGGGTCTCATTTGATTCTGCATTTATTTTCGTACTACTAACTACATCATTCGACGATTGTTCTGCTGGAGTGGTTGTTGATGCTGCTGTTGCTTCAGTTGCAGTTGCTGGGGTTGTTGCTGTTCCTGTAGTTGTTGCTGTTGCAGCGGCAATTGAAACTGATGGACTTCCTTTGCCTAGGGACGGCCAATCGCCAACATTTGTAAAATCACTAGCCTATACATGCGCAAAGAGAAAATGTTTGTGTCATCATTGCATATCATTCTTCTGGGTATTTCATATAGCTTAAATTCATTCGAAATCATTTGCATTTGTTCAAACATCGTCATTGTCTGTCATAATTTAAATCTCACCCCAAACCAACAGAATTTGTTGGTTGAAAGCAAAATTTCAAGTAGAATACTAAGGCTCTTGCTAATATCACAGAAAACCACGTGTTTGCTCTTGATGTCATCGTGTGAATAGAAACACAATCGAAAGCAAGCTTGAGCAACGTGTACCCATCAATACGTGTTCGGTTGCTGTCAGCCCGCAACTACATTCACAACTTAATTCGCTCAATTGACATGTGGTTTCTCGAACGTTTTCGCATATTACTTCTATCCACTGAGTTCGTTCGTTCGTTCTTTCGTTCTTTCGTCTAGATCGCATAATCAGCAGCCCTACTTCAATGCTGGAGCCGAACTTTTTCGCTTATTCGCTACCATAAATAGCTATACACGTGCACATGCATACATACACTTTCACACACACGCACACATGAACGCATGGTTCACGCAAACATAACCACGTCGTTGCGTTATCGTTTTACCGGCAATACCAAGAATGACCATGTGTGTAATGTTATCATAACCTGGATCAGTTACCGTGTGAATTCAATTTCGAAAGCAAATTGCTTCGGCTATTAAGGCTTTAAATAGACATTTTAGCCACATTTGATTTGCTGATATTTATGAGAAAATCACGTAAAACACTTCACCTACCTTTTGATTAATTTTCTTTTTATCTTTTGACGCCTTCACCACAACCGGCCCATTTTGACGTTCCGAATTTCCAGTTTTAACAGCTTTACCAACATCCTTTACATCCTTTGCATCTTTCCCATCTTTTCCATCTTTTCCATCTTGAATAATATTTAAAAAAGAGAGAACATATTCAGCGATTGAAGTGAATAATCAATGCATTTTGGTTTTCATCGGTTAAATCTAGGTTACCTTGTGCTTTGTTCGGTTTAGGTTGAGAAGAACGCTTTTCTGAAGCAGCTGGAGACACTGGTACAATTTTTGGCGACGCTGGTTTGTTTATCTGAAATTCGGAAAAATTAACAACATTTAACGCATTGCCATAAATATAGTCTCGATCACCCGATACATATGGTAACTCTGGATTCGATCCAGTTGCATAATGTCGACGCAAACACATTTTAACTATTGATCGATTGATAATCGAAAACACAAATACTTCAAATAAATTCAGGTGTTTTTATTATTATTGTTCGAATGAAATAGTCAAGTCATTTGGTTCTACAAATATCAAATTCAATCATACATTTGAAAACTGAACCAGCAGCAACAGCAAAAAAAACTAGCGAAGAAGCAACAAACACCAGCACGTTTATTCCGTCTTCGTTATTTCATAATAACCTTGGCATTTGTTTGAAAATATGTATCTATGACGAGTGAGAGAGAGAGAGAAGGACAGCGTAAATTAAAAGAATCTGCGCATATAATTTGGTTGGCGTGCAGCCCATGACAGATGTTGATGTCCATACTATTTATTTCACGTGTTATCTCATGTATGCGAGAGATGATAAAAAAATGTATGTTCGCAAATTTGCCATAAAAATGTAGCGTGCCAATCATGACACATGGATTATTAAGAACGTCATACTGTCAAATGGTTTTTGTTTAGTTTTCAAACCAGGAGCATTTAATGACTTCGCTTGAAATTGAAAGAGCTATGAATATAAATGTGACTCCAAACATTTTAGGTTGGTCATATTTGTAGCTAATTCCACAACAATATTGGCTTTTCAATTTGGTATCAAGTACAAAGTGCTTTGTTTGCTATGCCATTTTTGTCATAGTTGTTGTTTCTCTGCCTCTTTTGCGTTTTGAAATGGAATTCTTGGTTATGTATGTGTGTCTCTTCTTATTCATAATTGCGTATGCTTTGGCTCTGGCTTCGGATTTCATATTGTTGTTCGTATCGCTTTTCTTTAATTTTCGACTCATACTCGATGAATTTTATCGGCCGCGAATATTTCATCACATATTCTCATATTCTTGTTGTAGATGTTGAAGAGGCGACAAACGATTTGCTAATTAAAATGGAGAGACCCGGGTGGGTTCCTCTTGAATCTGACTTAAAATACGCCAGAAAAGTGTAAAGGCAGAGACAGAAAAAGGTGATCCAGATGGGCCCACAATATTCGAGTATACTATTTTTTTCGTTGGTCCCTGACGATTGGCTGCACAAATTTAAATTTGCTATGTGTCTTATGTCATCGCAATATATTTATATAAATGCGGACGACGAAAAATGTTGATTCGCAATACACTGCAATCGTTGAAAAGTATGGCGAGAAAATTTCTCGAGCATACACCGAGAATGAATGGCTGCGGTCGTGTTGGTGGGATAAATTTTAGTTTTGGTGAGATTTTATTTTTGGCATGAGAGAATCGCGGGATGCAGGTAAGCGGCCAATGCTGCATCATTTACACACAATTCTCAGTCAGTCGCTGCCTCTTCTTATATTCAACCAACATATCATAATATTCGATTCAAATGATATGAGCGATGCTGCCGACGACGACGACGACGACAACGAAGATGATCTTATTTGTCTGTGCGCGCGCAATAATTCGATTCGAGCGATGTGTGTATGATTTTCTATTTTAGAATTGTTCGTCGCTCTCTTTCGCTAGAGCGAGAACTCGTCTAGAGACTAAGCGGATCGCTTATCACGCATCAAACCTTTGCGTTTGCGATGCAATCAACTAATTTTGACCCACAATCAATTTAAATGTCTTCACACTCGATTCTGAATTTCACATGCAATTTTCAAGCACGAATACAGTTTTTTCGGGTTCGATTTTATCGGGCACATCTTTCTTACGCACTCGTCGTTTTTGGCTTTTGATTTGCAACATTTCCCATTTTGATTTTGACTCTGAAATTTTAAATTGATTTCGTGACATTTTTTCTCAACAGGCGATTCTCACTGTAACGTGACCTATGCGTCTCGAGAATCGACCTTAGCACAAAAAAAAAATTTCAATCGATTTCAATGAATTGAAATGAACTAATGAGAAGGATTGCAATTAAATCATATGTATGCCGTTGCTATCGATTTGGTACGTTTGAAGTACTAATTGTTATTTCTGTATCGCACTGCCTGAACGGAGCTAATGAACTACGAAACGAAGTACATTTTGTTACACATATTTAAATTCATTTAAATTAAGTGAAAACCGTATGCACATTGCATTATTTGCGACTTGCACTGTTCAAAACACATATATGGAAAATCAATACATCAATGATTCAAACTAGTTCAAACTATAATCATTTTTATTAAATATTCAATGGACAAACCGCTTTAGATACAATAAAAAGGCCGCACACGCTGTCCACTTGGCAAAAGAAGAGAAAACATTTCGATAGGAAATAATGTGGAATGCACGGAGCATGTCCTTCCCAATCGAACGTTGGTAATGTAGACACGGAAAAGGTTATATGAAAAATTGAACAAAATGCTGCGATAATAATTGGACAAAATGCAATGTGTCTTAATGCGCGGGAGCGGGTGGTTGGTTCATACGAAAATAGAAATCGAAATATGATACTCACCTTCCATGCATTCACCTTTGGCAATGGTGCTTCAACAAATTTCACAGCTCCTTCCGATGGAGTGGTGGTTGTGTTGCCAGCACTCGCCAATGCATTCGAATCCTCAGTCGAAGTGTTTGCATTGTCGGTACTGGACGAGTTTGCCTTGCTGGAAGTGCTGTTATCACCTGCTGATGTCATCGCATCGCAAAAGTGAGACAAATATAAGGCGCAAATGTGGGAAAAACAAGAACAAGAGAAGAAAACGCAAACACAATTAGCCGATTTGAATCGATTAAAAATTCTTCATGTTCCACATAAAACGATTCGCGTACCTGTTGTTGCTGTCGAATCCGAGTGAACCGCTGACTTCTCTTTGTCATCACGATGGTTATTTCCCTTTGAGCGTTTGTGTGTGGCGTCTTTGCTGCGACCATTTTCAGATCGTGGCTGTCGTTGTGATTTGTTGCTTGACTGATTCTGACGGCCAGCATTGTTAGCGCCAGCTGCAGCCGCATTTGATCCACGTTCCTTGTTCCGACGACTGTTCCGATCTTTTCGACTGTGTGAAACAACAGGAGTAAACGATGAATCATCTTCCGCATCAATCAAACTGACATCCTTATTCGAATCATCTGCATTTCCCGGAGCATTGTTATCGGCATTTGATTCTTGTGCGATTGTTTCCTGCAAAATTAGAATGCAAAATTAGAAAAGAAAAACCGGTTCGGTTGTAGCGATATATTTGTTTCTCTAGACATTTTATCAATACCCGCATTTCCAATGCAATGGACCCTACCTTGGTTTTGTCCGTTTTGTTATTGGTGTTGGATGATGGCACATTTGTAGCAGCAGCTGAATTCGTTGGAGCCGATTTCTTGGCCGTTTCGCCGGCCAAGGTCGTTTTCACATTTGATTTCTCTTTATCGTTGGCATTGTCCTTCTGAACGATGTTCGCATATGATGATGTTGCCGTTGATGTTGTCGTAGACGACACATTTTTAGTTGTCGTTTCGTCACTCGTTGCAGCTGAAGTAGCTGACATTTTGAGTCGTTTGACTGTGTTCTTCGATCGTCGATTTAGACTGAATTTGGTCCTTTGTTCCGTCTTATCGTCTAATCAGTGCTTAGGAAATAAGACTCCTGCACAAAACACTATGCAAGCCAGGTAACAAGAAAAAAGAAAGAGAAACACCATTAGCAACGATTGGGGAAACAAGATCTTTGAGATAATTGTACTAAAAGTTTTTGCTCATTTTCACTCAATATCAAACAAATCAAACTAGTTTGTTTACAAGTCATTTGTCACAAACAGTAACCATTGACGGGAAATTTTTGCGATGAAAAAAAAACAAAACCAAACACAAAAAATAACAAAAAACCAATTAACGAGAGAGGTTATGATAATGGCACACACAAAAATGAGGTTCACCGCATTCGGCAATCAATTCGGCATCGATCAACCAAAAAGCATTATGAAACTAGGCAGTGAATTGATTTTGAGTTGCATAATATTATGACTAACAGAGAGTGGCAACACTAAACACATTTTATCGTAGCAGAATGGTCGATGCACGAGCCGAGATCGAATGTTTAAAATAATGTGCTTCATTTGCATAAATTCGTATTTGTGTTTATGCATAGACCCATGCCGATTGTGCGATTTCATTTGGGCTTTTCAAGTTTATTTTTCGGTTGACTTCGAAAATGTCAAAATTATAATACAATGTATTTTATCTCGGTTTGAGAGAGATAGATAAAGAAAAAAAATCCGATTAATTCAAGACTATGCACTTACGAATGTCATTTCGCCACTTGCGGCATTTTGCCCAATTTTTCAAATGAAATAAATGTAATGAAACCGAAAAACTTATGATTGCGAACTATAGAAGAATTAACAAAAATCGAGAATATTCGACGCAGTGTAAAACAATCGATGATGTTTCGGCTGTTTTTTTCTCTTCGATTTTGAATTCAAATTATGGAATTCATGATCGGTTTCAAAGGAAATATGAGATTGCAGTGGCTGTATGCAATATAACTGATTCCAACGAGTTTCAATTTATATTTCAGTAATCTTAGACAGATCCATGTCATTTACAATCATATGTAATCAAACGAATACATGCACAGCGCACACGGCAGTAGCAGAAACAGCGACAATATATACATACACATGCACATACATACACCAGCAACTGCCAACAACACCAACACCATTGCAACAACGTTTCTGTGTACGTGTTCGACTGTCGCAAACCATGTGGTAATTGGACGACTAGACCGTAACTAGCGATGAAAGATCGAACGCCCTGAAATCCGATTGCAATTCAGAAAGAAAAAAATTGCACTCACAAGAATATTAACGAAAAGATTTATGCATTTTACAACGAACGGTAGACACAAAGTTTGACACATATTATTAGATCTATATTCTGTCAGTGTATCATTGTGCATTACGTCTCTCCCATTGTCGCACTCGCACTTGATGGATCTCACTGAACACGCAATTTGTATCAATGCCAATGTACCAATTTTTCACATTGGCCAATTTTTTTCTTCAACACTCCTGTCGGACGGAATGTCATTGGATTGGATTGGACAAGGAGTCAATAAAAGCGGTGGCATTCGATTTGGAATTGACCGTTACTATCACCGGTAATCACACTTCCACACAATGAGTCAAATCGAACATAAAATAACGACATAAATGTCAAGTGATAAGCAAAGGCATTTTTTTGATTATTCAGTTGATGTTTGATTAAACAATCTCCACACTGCCACAAGTAGATTGTAATTTTATTTATAGCTAAAAGTACATAATTTTATTTTACATACAATACGCACAATTCAGATTCAGGGCTGATTAGAACCGTTGATAGTGACGTAGTTCTACATTATTTTGCACGTGTAACGTGTAATATTTATTGACTAATGTTAGTTTGAAAGAACAGTTTTTAATCCACTTTTGCGTTCGTGAGCCGATTTTTTTTTTGCTTCTTCAACGCTTCGTTTCGTTCCACAACACTGAAATTGCCAGTCAAAAATGTTGAACGAGCTGGCCGCAACACAAACATGAAACGGAAATTGAGCACGTTGTTCTCTCTCACTCGTCACACAAACAATTCTTACTCTTTACGAAGTGCGGAATTGACAAATATTCGATTCGGTGATAAACTTAATCTGACGAGCGATAGCGACGTATTCGAATCGAAAACTATACGAAGCATATCAAAATGAAATGCAAAGGCGAATCACTAGGAACGAACATGTGTAATGTAATGAAGTAAAAGGGAGTAGAAGAGGAAAAAAAAACACACGTAAGGTTCGCCAGCAAAAAGAATGAAATGAACGTATTTGGAACTGAAAAAGTGTGAAACGAAAAGTCATAAAAAGCAAAACATCGAAACCGTCGTCAGTCTGTGTCAATGCTTAAATGTGTATAATTACTGTGATTGTTAAACACATCGAAAAGACGAATTTAAAGAAGAAAAAACGAAGAGAAAAAAATGGTCACACAATCATAAGCAGGTTATCCTATGGATTGTGTGTTGCTTCGAATGGCAACGAGATGCCATACAACGTATTGGGCCTCTTGGCGTCGCAACAGTGGTAGCGCTTATGATGCGGCAACGACAGCATGCTGTCGCACCGATTTACGAACTGTGTGTACTCGACTCTATGTGGACGGCACACCGAGAGAGCACCGAGTTCTTTTTTTCTTCTTTCCTTCTTTCTTTCTTTTTTGGTTGCTTTGGCATACGATTTGTGTGTACCATGTGTGATTGTTGTTGCCTTGTAAACACACATAGGAATCGCCCGTGTTCTTTGCGCGATTGGCCACATTTTCATCAAAACCGAACATCGAATATCGAACACCGAACCATCAAACACAAAAACAACACAATTCTACACGCCGTGCAAAATTACAACCACATACACACACACACACACACACCAAAATCACCAATACGAACGCACGGATCGAAGGCACGAACACATGCATGAAACACACACCGAGAGTGAGAGGGCGAAAGGCGCAGAGCGAGAGAGAGAGAGAGAGAGAGAGAGAGAGAGAGAGGGAGAGAGAAAAATAGATGTGTGCGACACCGTCCAAATGAAAATGAACAAAAACTTAAAAATAAATTAGTGAAAATGTATTGTATTATTGATAAATCCTTAGGAAAATTCACCTATATTTACCGAGCACAAAGCGAATTTAATGTTACTGCCGTCTCATTTAGCACGACTGAATGTTATGTGGATGACCGTGCAGAATAATATCGCAATAATCGAATAATCGTAATATTTTCGAAGGTTTTGCACACACGACGACAATGACGATGTTGGTGATTAGGATGATGATGATGACGATGACGACGGCGTGCTTTGTGGACGAGGATGGTTTGTTGGGTTTCGGATTTGTTGGAAATGTGAACACACTCAGTCCAGAACCAAATCCACGGCACAATTGATTTTTCCGTCCCCGTTCAGTTCGTGTCAATTGGTTGTGTTGTGGTCTGTCTCCTGTTCAGTACTGCCTTGATTCTCACAGTAGGGACGACAACGACGACAAGCGAACACAAAAAAAGACAACAATAAATAAACGAAGAATATAGTAGCAGCTAATGGCCTGGTGTATTGTCAAATTCGATTCATTCACTGGCACTAACACACGCTGTCCATGAGTTTAACTCAAATTCATACATCCGAAATACGACTTCGTAACATTTCAAAACAACAACAAAAATAGTAGATTTTTATTGTTCGTGCAAATTGTCAAAATATTTTTATCTCCTTTCGAATCGCAATTCTTTTACGCACAACTAATGCGCACACACAACAACACTTTGTTCACAAAATTTCACCGAAAAAATGTGTTTCACCGTCTTTGAAATGTTCTGTTGTTACTGTTTCTGTGTTTTGGTTTTGGTTTTTTTCTTATCCCCGTCAGAAAAAAAAAATTCAACTTCTTTTATATTTGCAAATTTTTCTTGATATTTATTGTCTTTGCCAAATAGTTCGTCGAATTACTCGATTTTAACTGAGCAATCCAATGGGGAAAAAACACATACACGATTCTTGTTATAACCAACAAAAAAAAAATAATAGAACCAAACTGTGAAAGAAAAAGTAGTAGTGAGCTGCTACTGCTACTGCTGCTAAAGGGAAAAATATAGAAGATCAGAGCAACTATTTTTCCTTCACACTTCGACGAAATTTTTCGTTTCTATTTACAGTGCTGTGCCTCCTGTCGACAGTAATCCACTGTGATTTTTCACCAATTTAACAATTTCACCAATGTATGCACTTTGTTTATCAAAATGTTTTTCAAAATTTATGCTATATACATTTTTATTCGCAAAATTTCTTGACGCATATTTCAAAAGTCGTCAACAACAACGTGGTTATGATGTTCAAAGGAATATTTCAAAAGAAAAAATGTGACTGATTGAATTTATTTTGTCTGTTATGTTTGCCATAGTGTTTCATTGCTTCGAAGCACTATCTCCGGTGACTTGGTAGTTTGTTTTTGTTCGGCTGTCAACGGTTGGCAACACTGCACATTGACGGTTTCGACGAACACACGTACATTGATTTTCTTCGTATTGTTGTCTTTCATCTGGTCCAACAAATCACTATTGATAATTCATTTGTCATTTTTCATTGAAAGTCTGCTGGCCCAAATCATTGCACATTATCGACAATAGTTCATTGATGTGGATGGCCGTTTGAACGCAACTTATCTGGATCGATAAATATGTGAACTGTAAGTGTGCATTTGCTATCTGTCAAATGCTCTCAATGTACTTGCTAACCATTTATGGCCAACCGGATGTTTTTCAAAAAACAAAAAAAAAGTTTCTTTCAGGAACATAACACAATCGCTTATGTGTCAAAGTCTTATGCTCAGAATTCTTGACTATACAACAGATGGCTCTGGCACTATGTGGCGAAAAGAACGTGTTTGCGAAGTTTTTTTTTATTTGCGTAGCAAATTCTTGTCCAAATTCTCATTGTTCAAAGCCATAACATAAAACGGACTATATTTTTGGTATTGAATATTATTTTGTGGTCTACAATCACATTGAATTTATCGTCCATTGATATCGATTCGAATGATAATCGAATTGTCATCCATCAACTGAAATAAACGTAGTGAGGATAAATGAAATAGCGGTGTCGTTGATAACAATGTGTGTAACCACATGAATGTCAACACGTTGTATTTGTTATTGTTGTTTGTGGTCTTATTTTTGTTTAAAAGTCCGACTTCCGTTTGATCATATCTGCAGATATTATGGGAATCTTTGACAGAATTGTCATATGTTGCGTAATAATATTGGAATTTGGATGCACTTCTTTTTGGCTCTGCTTCCAAATGCTTTAACCTTTGAATTTTCCACTTTGAATGCATTAATCCATGATAATGAAAATGAATACAACACACATGAAAACGCATAGAGAAATGAAATACCTTTGGTTTATGATTTTTAAAGTCACATTTTTATTCAGATTTTGTTTTATTTGTATTTGTATTTCGTCGTAAGTTAGTTTTTCTGCATTTTATATGTGTATCTATGTATGCTCACTTATCGTAATTTTTTTTTTCATTATAGTAGAATCGTTACATTAAATTAATAAATATATACAATGCAGCTGAAAAAGAAAACATTTCGATAAAAAACACCTACTTACAATTAAAAATGTGTGTGTGTTTTTTTTAAATTTTGCTTTGTTTCTTTTTTTTTGTTATTTGTATGTTTTTTTTACTCGTTTCATGGTTTTAATAAAACAAAAAAATATACAAAAAAAAAACTAAATGAACTAAATAAACTATCACCATTTTGTTCTTCCACACAACGATTCCCAAACCAAACTTAATTTCACTTTAAATCGAATCGAAACAATTGAATCGAAGGCGTCGGTTAGTTTTTTGTGCCAGAGTTATTTTCTTTTTTGATTTTCCCGTAATTTGAAATGAAAATTTGGAATAAGTTTTTTTCTTCATCGAATCGGTTATTGCTTCATATGCAGAAGAAAAATTTGTTTGTTTTATGCTAGTAGGATCAAAGAAAAGATCATATGGTAAATATATATATATTTGTATTTACATTAAATTACTGTTTGTTTTCCGACTCAAAATGTTTGGTTGTTTCGTTTATCTCATCAACTCGAAAAATCTTGAACATTGGCAATGGAATATGGTTGACATTAGCCCATTGGTTCAAAAAGTGCGAGAACTATTTCTCCATTTTTATGCAGAAAAAACTTAAAAACTATCATTATCTGGCTATAATCGATACCATAATATAAACTTAAATGTAACTTCTATGGATACAGTTTTTTTTTTTCAAATAATTTTTTTTAGAACTCAATTTTTTCAGCTTTTAGCTTTTGAAACAAAATTGAACTTTTTTTTCTTTAATTTTTTGATTTATTCCTTATGGTGGCATTTTCTATTTTATTTGAACTGAATGCCTTTTGGAAAAAAAATGTGTGTTGATGAATGGATACTCTTGATTTTTTTTTTGTAAATACGTCTTCGTTTGAAGATAATAAAATTTGAGTCAATAGCTCACTCGGTTCAACAAGAGTGGGGTTGTTTTTTTTTTCTCTGTTTAGAAAATGTTGTTATTATAGCCGCTGATTGTCACTTCCAATGACGAACGAGCTGCTACGTTCACTGAATGGCTCACTCAAACAGTAAATTATATCGTTAAATGGTAACATTTTTAAATGCTTTGATTAAGTGATTTTAAAGGAAAATATAATTAAGAAACCAGCGGTAGCGGTGACAAATAAAAAAGAAATTGCCCACCTAAAATGACTTTTCCGTTTGCATGTTACTCAATTATAAATCTACGTTTAAATTTGATGACCCGGCTTCCAATTTGTTTTGCGTAACTCTAAAGCATTGAGGCGCATTTGTTTTGGATTCGATAAAATTACCTGGCATTTGGCCACGGTTCCCTTTTTCACCGGCAATAATCAAGTGTGTGCTTTATTATCCGATACACGCATATAGGTATTTCTTCATTTTGAACAAATTGAATTCAACACATCTTGAAAATGAAGCCACGCCAGAGCTTAAGTTAATAAGTAAATACATTGATAGAATATCTTAGCCAAATGGCTGCTACAGCTATTTTCGCTTGATTTGGTTTTCGGTTGGAGCAATCTGATGTGCACTCAACACAACTCACACACACTCTCATACGTACACCCTTTTTCATCCCACCGCTTTTTTTCTTCTTTACATATAGTTTTTGTTTTGTTGTTGTTTTTTTTGCTTTTTTTATACAATAAATTTTGTTTCTATTATTTAGTTAACAAAATAAAGTTTTTGATGAATCTTTCTGCTTAGTCAATATCTGTGTGATGTTGAACGAGAGCCTGCTTCGTTTAAATGTGTATACGGGTAGAAAGAAGACTCCCAATTCGCATCAGATATTGATTAAAGAGCAAGAGTACATTCTCGTGTACGAATGACGAGTCCGCGGTTTCAGTGGTGTGGATTGTGGTGATGACTGATATGGTGAGTCGAATTGGTCTGTTGCTGTTGCTGCTGTTGATTCGGCTGTGGTTGTTGGGTCTGTTGCATTTGCACATTCACCTGATTTGTATTGCGATTTTCACGGCGCAAAAGATGAACACCGCCATCGGCTGACTGTTGTAGATTGTATTCATTGGGCGAATATGGATTACCTTGTGGATCACGTAGATTCTGTAAAAGTCAAACGAATCATTAGATCATTTTGTCCAAAAGCCAAAAGGCTGTGTCTGTAATTACCTCGAAAATATGCTTGTACAAATCTTGGAATTTCTTCATGATGCGTTTTCGTTCAGCTAAAGCGGCCTCCTGCTCTTTTATTAAACGCTCTTTGCGCTTGCGCACCTCTTCAACTTCGTCGGCCAACGATAGAATTTGGTCCAATTTACGTTTTCGGCAGTTTTGTGCGGCCACCTTGTTCTTGCCACGACGTCTAATGTCTCGAATCAGTGATAGCTGATTTTCGCTGAGATCGTATTTAGATAGCCGCTCATTGAATTCATCCATTGGCAAATTGATAATATCAATGACTGCAATTGGAACCTGTTACCCACACAAACGAAAAAAAAAAACATTGAATTTAATTTAAAATCGAAAACAATTATTCGAAAATAGGCCGAATGCAGATTCATATCGTGTTTACATACATTCAATGCACGAGCACGTTTCTCGTCCCGAGTAAGATGTTCCTCTTCAGCTTTTTTGGAATTTTTCTTATCACGCGGTTGCGACCGTGGTGTTGCACCGCTTGCTTGAGGCAAAGTGTATGTGTGATTGTGCCCAACGATATCATGAATGCCACGTGGATTGTGTCGGCCAAAGTCAATTGAACATTGTTGTTGTGACTGATGCTTGTTCATGATCGGCATACCGCCAGCGGCACCATCAAGATTTGTAGCCAGTGGATGATGCATTGGGTATGGTTCAAATTCATATTTGATTGGCATATCAGGCTGTTGTGGCTGTACAACGCCAGCATTCGATGCCGATTGTGAAATATTACTGCAAAGAGTGAAGAAAAAAAAATCCCCCATTATAAGATAAGTCGAATCGGAATCGGAATGGAAAAGAAATTGTGTGTTTTTTGTTTGGTTGACATTGCAAATTGAATAATGACGTTGTTTCAACTTACAGATTCGGTCCACTTTGGTCATGTAAATATCGTTTGCCAAACATTTGGTGTTTCTTTTGAGCAACCGGATGACGAACGGCATCACCCAAGCGGCCGTTGTAGCTGCTATAATCGTATGGGCCATATTTACTGAAAGTGTAAATAAACAAATGATAATATTTTCCCAAGGCAATGAAATTGCATATTTTCACAATAAACTCTGTTACGCAGACACATTCCAGATAGCTGAAACCAAGTAGTAAACAAGATTTTATTAAGATAGTGGAGGCCTTACCTATGGTATTCTTGAGCGGAATCGCTACCAGTGTCACCCCATTCGCCATCTGACAATGATGGTACTCGTTCCGAGCCCATCGAACTGACGGCACTGTCGCTGGATGCATCCAAACGATCAGTGGTTGCAGTGTTGCCGTTCAATGTGGTCTGCATTTGTGGGGCTCCAGCCGCATTTGGCAACAATCCAGCGCCATTACTATTTAGGCTACCTGCTGCTTGTGCGGCCTGTGCACTTAGCACGGCTGAATTGTTGTTGGTGGCATTTGGTTCCAGCATACGCATTGTGTAAAAACCTAGGAGAGAATCAAATGGAGATCTTTTTTTTAAAAAATCATTCATTTTCAGCAAATCACTTAACGTAATCATGTTCAAAAATATTTTTCTCCTCACAATGTGATAAGGTAAGCGCATGAATGTCGCGTTTTTCACATTTTATTACGGCGGTGTAAACAATTTGGTCATTTGAGAGAAAAAAAGTGTTTAGTCATTGTGAGATATGGTAAAATAGCCATAACAACATTATGACATTTTCAAGCGCGTATATTCATCTGAATTGTGGTTGTTTGATCTCAGTTGATGTGAGCGTGTTTAATAACGAATTAGCACTGTTCAGCATAGATAATCGTTCAGCCGAATCAGAAACAGCAACAGAAACAAAAATATAAAGAGCACACAGTCAACGAATAAATTCAATGAGAGATCGGAGCAATGGCAGAACAAGTATTTCCAATGGGTTTTTTTTCTGATCTTCGTTTGTGAATTCGATTGTACACGAACTGTGCAGGAAACTAGACTTTTCATAGCGAATTTTTATTGCAGTACAAACATAAATCAGAGATAAGAAAAACTGTTGCTCGCTAGCTTACGTCATTATCATGTGTATGACATTGTATGCATTGAAAACAAAAGCGATTTTATTTACTGCGTAGTGCTTTTGGCCTGAGCACCGATTTCGGCTAACTAATTTATTTAACGTGTGACGCAAGTTGTGTGCGTGTGTGAGAGAGTGTAAATAAAGTAAACTGTTCACTCGTTCGCTCGTCTTGCTATGACTAACCAAAAACCGGGTAGCGTTTCCATCGAAGATACGATGACACATGTCATCAAAATCTTTGTCATATCCGCTAGGGAACCTATAAAAAATATATATATGTAATAAAGTGATATTGGAATCGCGCTGAATTGTCCAATGAATCGTTCACTTATAAGTTTTTCCATCTTTTTTTTTCATTCATTTTTAAATCCGAAAGAATAAAACTTTGTAGAATTTCCAAGTTCTACACTACTTCAATTTGTTGATCACAATGTTCACCAAAAAAAGAATGTTCGCAGTTTTCTATATTATTTACCTAGAGCCAAGCAGTTGAACAGCATTTTCGACGATTAGGCAGTAACAGTCACAATTCAAATAATACATTTAGTTTGTTGTCGTCGGTGGTCTAATTGTTGGTTAAATGCTTTTCAGCAATTATTTCGCATTTCAAAATGTCACTTGCTAGTGTCTTTTATTAAATTCGTTTTCTGCCTTATTTTTATATATTTTCATTCACTTTTTGCCTTAACGGTTTGCTGTTCTTGACTTCAGTTCCAGTACACAAAATGATTTTCCCACCATTTTTTCTTCTCTTCAAACTAATTGTCTCCAGTTTCTATTTGTAAAACATCATTCAAACTCTACACCAATTTCTGTAACAAAATCACACTTTTTTTTCGTCATTTCTTTGCTTTAAAATAAACGTTTTCGGTTGATCGTTGACTTGTGAATTGTCCTGTATGCTGAATGTACACAATACGCTTTTTTTCTCGCAATTTCAATCATAAAATATAAAACCGTTTCTTTATTTTAAATGTCTATGGCATGGAGTCGTTTGATATATGTGTAATTGTTCTAAGGAATCAACGACACGGCATGGCACACCTTGTGCACACTAAAGTGTGCGTTTGATCCAATGCAATTGATCAATATTAAAGCACCCAAAATTAAACAAATAAGAAGTAACAAATAGAAATACAAAAAAAAAAACGGGCACACAAACGGAACAAATACGATGAATATTTTTTTTCGCGCGAGAGAAAAAAACCGACAGTACACGCACCAACCGCGAATATTAAAAATATATACGGTACTCTGAGGCTGTGTCCCAATTGAAATATGAACAATGTGATATTTAGCGCAGAATTTCAAGTCGAAATAAAAATGTATATACACATATAATTGTTCGTTTGTCGCAAATCATACAATCATACGCTGAAAAGCCACACACAAAGTGTGTACGGCACATGTGTTCGATCGTTTTTAAAATGAGTGGCGTGCCACCGTCGCCGCTTGGTTGACGTGTGAGTGAGCTCGTACACTGGCGTGCGCACCCGCCTGCTCGCACATATTCTATCTCTCGATAATTTGAAATGCAGAAAGTCTGACACAAATGAATGTTCTTTGCCTGTTGTGGCTAATTTTCATATGGCCGCTGCTCGATTGGGGCTCGACTGAGTACACACTACGACTCAGCCTATCGGCATTCCAACGCACTTCATGCGTATGTGCACCGTACATTTTTCTGAACGCAAAAGAAAAATCTGCGCCGTATGTTTGTGCTTGTTGCCTTCTAGTTATTTTTTATATTTGTTCATTTTTTCTGTTCCGACAATGCCGTACACAGATCGCGGAAATTTTCGAAAAATCGATTCTCTTCATTCACAATTGATTTGCGATCAAGAGAACAAAATGTTGTGGCAACAATTCAACAACCAAATTCATTAATGAAACCAACAATTTGTATCACAGTCACATATGTGCACTTTGCGCAAACAAAAATATAAAATATTGTTCGTCGCTCTTTGCTTGTTAAACTTCAAATGAATTTCTTTTGGTGTGTTGTTTCTTATTTCTGCGGCTGTGTGGATGTTTTTTTCTTCTATACTAATTCGTATGGTATCTCTCTGTTGTTGAAGTGGGCAATTTCGATGAGGTATCACAAGCTTTAGCATTGATTTTATGGCTATGTTTGTGCGAAGAGAGAGAGAGGGAGAGAGAGAGAGAGAGAGAGAGAGAGAGAGAGAGAGAGAGAGAAGGTAATAATTCTGCCGACTCATGCTAGCTGAATTTTAATCACATTTCCAATTTTCTTGCTTGAATATCTTATGAGGACAAATACATTCTCTTTTATTACGAATCGAACTATCCAGCGAACAATGATACCTGTCGTAGCTTTTTGAGTGCAAGCAATTTGTCAGTGTTGTTTTTTTTAGCGTATGATTGAAGTTCAAGCACGAAACTTAAAATGAAGGAAATTCGGTTTTCTGCCAAACAAGCACAATGTTTTAAATCCATTAAAGTTTGGCCCACGACAAAATCAGAAGAGAAAAACACTAGTCAAATTAAATGCATGCAAATTGCGGCCGCTCCAATATATGTCGATTTAATGCGGTTTCAAAACGAACGAATGGGCTGCAATCAGTGGATTGCGAGAGAAAATGCGCACGAAATATTTCCAAAATATTCCATGGCACTAAAATAATGTGGAAACGTGCGTTTGTGTTGCGATTAGAGACCGTACAGTGGATGTGATGTTCTGGGTGACAAAAAATACCATTATCAAAATTCTATCGGTCGTGGTGGCCTTCATGATTAGGCCAAATACAGTTGACAAATGATAATCTTGCATGAGCATTGTCATTGAATTTCGTATTCAGAAAAAAAAGGATTCATTTTGAATTAATTGCGTGCAAATTCATAAAACTCCGCGATAAAAGTTCGAAACGAAATAATCGCGATCAGATCAGTGAGTGAATGTTGTGTGTAAAAATGGCAATTGCGATTATTTTCACATTGAAAACAATTAATGTGCGACATTGTTTTCAATTACTTCTCTCATAATAACTGTTCCTCTCAATACGGAATGTTTGAAGCACACAATTAAAACATGTGCCATTGCACTTCTGTGTTCGCCAAACTTTCCGTCGATATTTTTTGATCATGTTATTCGCAATGTACTTTTGAAGAAGTGCACGAATACTGTAGTAGGATGAAAGTCCAATGTAAATCCGTAGAAAAACACAACCGAAAAAAATTGTAAAATTATGTTAATAATCTCGATCACGTTCGCGTTTGAAACAAAGCACCAGTTAAAAGCGAGCGCCAGTCAAAAGCTAAATTTTGGCAAATCTACAACGAAACCGAAACTTAATCTTTTTTTTCTCTACTATTTAATGCTACACATTTTGGTTTTTCGATTGCGTATGATACAACAACATAATTGACGACCTGTTCTTGGATCGGATTGGATAGATCAGCACGCGTAAGTTCTAGTTTTTGTGTGTTATTATTATGTGGCTATGGCCGAAGAACCAGTTTGTTTCGTCAAAATCAATGAAATATGGTATCAAATCTTTTCAAAATTATTTCTTTAAAATAAAGAAATGATTTAACTCGTTCGCTTGCCTAAAACACAAAATCATTATGATTTGGCCACACGCATTTCAGCTTTGATGTCTTGGCTTTTTCATTTGAGTAATCAAATCGGATGGGAATTATTCATCGAAAAGTCAAAATGGGAAAAAAAAAGTAAACAAACGGCACCTGCGAAAATATAGAGCACCGCGGTTAAAAATAAACCGTTTTTAACGGTCACGGAAAAATAAATGAAAACCAGGAAGAATACCTTGAAAGAATGCCTTCCATATTCTATTTAGAAGTGTGGCGAAAACATGCGAAAATCATGATAATGTGTGGGTTTTATTATTTGTTATTTTGCACACACAAACACGAAATAGATGTCGGACAAAGCGGCTGTAGCATCAAAAGTGTAGCATGTGATTTTTCGAACAAGTCCAGCCGATAAGTCGAAATATCTGACCCAATTCAAAACACAGAAAAAAATAATGACATTTTCCGAGTTCCCCCGGTTCTGATTTATTAAGTGGTGGACAGTAGATATTCTGTTCAACTGAAAATTGCCATTATCACCAGAACTCCGGGAAGTGTGCGAAGAAAGTCGTAAAAAGTGAATAAAAATAAACGTAGCATTCTTCTTTTGACGTATTTTCTCTCGTTCTCTTTTGAAATGTGCAAATATATAGGTCAGGGTTTGTGTTGAGACAAAAGACAAATTACAATGTACGATTATGTGTTCATTTTGGTTGGATCCTTTTAAATCAAGGATAGCCGCACGCGCATCGTGATAAATGATGCCATCGCGCCTTTTTTGCAAAATAAAAATGAAGAACAAATATAAATACGCGAAAATGCGATTTTACGCACAACTTTTGTGCTGCACGTTTTCTAGTTCTATAT